AAGTCTAGTCAACGTCGACTAGTTTCCATTACGTCATAGGAACTCAAAACGCCATTTCATATTCTCTGAAAAGAAAAGGGTTTTTTTTTTGTACACAAAAAAGAACAACAAAATATTGGGAGCATATATTTTTGCTCCTACCATGTATCATATTGCTAATAAGTAACATGAAAACCCAAACTATTATTAAGCTGCAAAAGTGAAAGAAACGAGCGGCACGTAAAAAACAAAATTAAAATCAGGTGGGAGGGCGCTGTTGGTGTCCACCAGCACCCTCCCCCAATTTAATTTACAATTATATTATAATTATTATAATTATACAGTTTCTGGATTTCAATCCTGGTTTATGTCTAAGAGAACAAGAGCATCAACATGAGCAGGATGAAGGCTTGCCCGTTTTTACGTAATGGTATTCCCAGCAAGAGAGAAAATTCTCTCACTGGGAATGCTGGTTGCTGGAACAGCTAAATACCTTCTGCTGAGTTTAACCAAAAGGATAAATCTGTCCTGGTTTCTGGCCCACCTGGTTCGCCATGATGGGAATCTGCGGTAATGAAAAAAAATCACTGACCTCTTCGGCAGCTGTGGAGCATTGGGCTGATCTCCTGTCACTCTGGAAATGTGGCCCAAAAAGTTCACAAAAACCTCCTCGAGTCTGTTTTTTTCCCAGTCACCACCTTGCTATGAATACTGGGCATATCCTTCTCCTCCGCTGGTCACGTGACATGTGACACAATCACGTGACTGTGACTAGTCGACTCGAAATTTAAAAACTCGCCAGTTGTCCTTGAATCGGCTGGACGACTACTTAATTCAACCCCAAATATATACTTTGTATATATATATACACACACTGTATAACTATAATATCCAAATTGGACAAGAGGATAGTTCATAGTTTAAACAGTGTAAGAGACAACTAACAACAGACTCATCCAGTGTAAACCCGTGTCTGTTTGATAAAACAAGAGTATCACATTGATCACATTGTTGAGAAACTGTAGGGCATCATGAAGTGGATTACAAAAGAGACTAACTAAGCGTTAAAGAAAAGGGCACCTTCTCAGTCATGATACACAGTGAAGACTCAGTTGTTCTTGTCTTTGGATTTGACTGATGTCAGAGTACAATAAAAACCAGTTAATAAAGTCATTTTGGCATGAAATGCACTGCTTGATTACAGGGAGTTCTTCAGGTCATGGTCCTTTGAGCACTATAAAGAACATACATATAAAAAACAGAAGATAAGAAAACATTTGTTTATTAAGAAGTGGTCTGCTGCAAATCTTGATGTCAACTTCAACTCAGTTAGGAAATAATTAATTCTTCAAATGAAAAAGAGAAGTTAGGAGTGGGTCAAATTGCATCAAAGCCATAAAATAAAGGCTTGTCATTCCTTGAAGAAATGCATATTTTCCAATGACTTTCATGCCAGAGTTTAGAGTAAGATCATCATATGGTGAAACATACATCAGGTTTGTTTGAACTCAAAAAAACAATAGTCATGTACAATCTCTTGCAACATTGTGTCATGCTCAAATACTCTGCTATGTCCACATCACATTTGAGCTCAATAACTGTGAAAATGTCATGACTATTTTTGTGTTGGTGTCCTTCTTCAATTTAATTGACTTCAGAAGTAATGCACTTGAAGAATTTCTGAAAAATTCTTTCAGATTTGTTCTGCGGTTCACAAGATATTTTGTTAACATGAACACAATGTTGACTGTAACAGTTAGTACTAAAGTTTGAAGCAAAGATCTAGCTCAAGGATGAGTGCACATAGAGGAATGTGTTGTGGAAGACTGAATTACATTAACACTAGATTTTAGCACAATGTCCGTAAAGCTGACTGAATTATTGCCATGTTTGTGTTTTTATAGCCAACTGGCTCTGGTAGCCATCCTTGATTGGGTTGAGTTCAAAAAGTAATCAGAAGTGGATTTATATAAAATACAGTAGTCTCTCGCTACTTCGCTGTTCGTTTATCGCAAACTCGCTCTATCGCTGTTTTTCAAAATAAGATTGGACATGACGCACAATTGGCTGATTGATGGATGAGCCGCACGACTGGCATGGAATTTTTTATTAAAATAAATTAATTTCATTTATTTAGCACCTGCTGCACATTTGTGCAACCTAGAGCTGCAAAAAGAGCTTCCTTCTGCACTTTTGTGTAAGGATGCACCGATCCACTTTTTTTTTACTTCCGATCCGATCCTGATACCTAAAACTGAATATCGTCCGATACCGATCCAGTTCCGATATCATGATCATCATTGATTTTATATGAAGCTGTAATAATCTCCTCTCAAGTAAAATTTGTACAAATATATGCATGCATGTCCAAAAAGGCAACTTGAGGTAAGTTTTATTAATGTTGGATAAGTTTTAAAGTTAGAATTAAATTCTGCTAACACAAAATATGTTTCTTTTTATTCCTAGTTTTAAAGTGGATATTAAAGTGATTAATTTAAGTGATTGTTTAAAGTTGTTTTATATTTTATAAGGAGCAGATATAAGGATTTTTAATTCTTTCTGCACTCTTTTCATTCAATGTTTTCTTTTTGATCACTTTTTTTATTTTACTTCATTTAAATGAATGAATAAATTAATTAAATTAAATGTTAAATGGCTTCAAAACATCTGCTAAGTTCATGGCATAAACAAACAGACATGTTCCTGTTTTTAGTATTTTACATCACTTTATAATGTAGCTGTTCATGTTTTTAATGTATATAATTTTCAAATCATATGTTTTTTATGATTGTCTACTGTTGTACTGATAAATATCTCCTGGAGAGTAAACTATATCTTGACTGCAAGTCAAGCCCCATCCCTACTTTTGTGCAGCCCACACTTCAGGATAAACTTCCTGCTGCAGCTGATCAGCTGTTCTCCGTGCAGAGCATAAAAGTGGGCGTGGCCAAGAGCACTTGCAGGAGGCTGAGAGCAGCCGAGGCAGGGAGCTGAAATCATGACATTCTGTGCTTTTTTAGAGCGTCTAGAGTTTAGAAACATTGTTCAGAATATTGCAAGTGTGGGAAGGGTTTAAAGCGCATATATATACAAACCGGATTCCAAAACAGTCGGGACACTAAACAAATCGTGAATAAAAACTGAATGCAATTATGTGGAGATGGCAAATGTCAATATTTTGTTCGTAATATAACATAGATGACAGATCAAAAGTTTAATCTGAGTAAATGTAACATTTTAAAGGAAAAATATGTTGATTCAAAATGTCACAGTGACACACAAAGTTGACACCACGTATCTAATGGCAGAATTTTAAATAAAGTTCTTGTACAATGTGTTGCCATAGAATATGTGTTTAGGATCAGTCTCAGCTACTACCACTCTATTTAAGCTCAATTTCTGTAAAGTTGAATAATTTATAGATATTTTTTGTTTTTCAAAATTTTGATGCATGCATTTTTTTATTACCACTTTGAACTATTATTTTTTTTTAAGGAGGAATTACTGCTTTACACTCATTTTGACAATGTCTTACTCCATTGGATATTAAAAACTATAAATGTTAGTTTTGACGTCCAAAAGTAATTCAGAAACACTTTAGAACTCCAGTTTTCGCTCTTTATTTTTGTTCTTTTGAATAGGATCACTTCTTTTCAGAGAACTGTTAAGTATTTTGCAAGCAATTGTATATTTAGTTTCCTTGACAAGAACAAAAGATCTGCATCTCTTTTATTTGTTGTTCAACTGTACAACCAGAGTCGCACAGCACTCACTTCAGCTCAGCCTCCCATTGTCAAAGCAGAATGCTTGTTACATAAGGGGGAAATAATAATTACTGATTCATTCATGTGATACTTTTAGAAGCATTTTAAAAATTTTCCCAACTTACATCATCTCAAAAAGCAGGGTAATGCACAGAGCTATGATTCATCTGCAGAGACTGTGGTCATCCTCACTACACTATGTAAATGAGAAGACATTAATCTTGTAGCTTCAGTACAGGCAGCGTCTCAAACTAATGCTGTTCACTGAGATGACCTGATTGCCCCTAAATATCTTTCCTTCAACTAATACTGCTGTGTAGCCTTGAAAAAGACTGTAGATTACAAAACTGAGCTGTTCTTTGTTGGTATGTTGTCAAACTTTTGTTTTACACTGACAAAGAAAATAAATCAACCGACCTGCTTGTACTTTTTTCAATGAACTTTATATTTCTTTTCTTCCTAGCACCAGCCCTGCTCATAAGTACTATCTGGCCATGGACCCAGTGGGAGAGGTCCTCTATGTATCCGACACCAGCAGTCGCAGAGTTTACCGAGTCCGAAACCTCGTTCAGCCAAAAGACCCAGCGCGCAACCTTGAGGTAGTAGCCGGGACAGGAGAGCAGTGTCTACCTTTCGACCAGAGCCACTGTGGAGAGGGAAGAAAGGCCACTGAAGCTGCACTCAACAACCCCCGAGGTAATGATAATGTGCTCAGTGCAGTCGAAGAGCGCCGTCTCTCAGTCAAGACACAGTTTTCCGCTGCCTTGAGCTTGAGTTACATTTGTTGTCCCTTCAGACTGGGCTTACAGATTTGTGATCATCAGTCAAAGATCAGCATTTGGTAAAATTAGGTACACTTAGCTGGGAGGCAGAGTGTTGGCTAATTCAGTGAAGGTCAGGATAGAAATCCTGAAGCAGCAACAATCTGAGTCGCCTACATGGATTTCAACCCACCTAATCAATTTTGGGCTAAGAGCAACATTTGTACTGAACACAGAGCACTCAAACTGCAGTGATGATTTTCTAAAAAAAAAAGGGATTTTATAGCTGAGGAGTTATCTGTGACACGATGTTTGCTTTGAGCCTTTTTCTCTCTGAAGGTTTTAGTATTTGAAAAGTGATCTACAGTACATAGGCAAGCAGGCTGATATGGTCTGCTATCAGATGACAGGAATGTGGGTTACCTGAGAATGATGTTGCACATTTTTCATTGTTGCCTAAATGTATGCCAAAGAATCATGACATTATATTGGTTAGATACCAGTATCATCAATCCCACCTGCGTTCTGTTTGTTAGTGTGGATATTTGCAGCCAAGAAAGGGCTTGATATTTGTCCTTATTTATGAGTTTCCACCTGTATTAAATAGCATTTTTGCATGACTGTCATTTGGTGGTTTCCTTTTTATGCTATAGTTTAAAGGGAACTAAGATGAGGAAGAGGCAGGGCAACTGACTCAGGACCCAAAAGTTCCAGGTTCAATCTCCAGTCATTGCATATCTTGTGGTGTCTCTGAGCAGCACACCCCATCCCCGGGCACCCCCAACAGCCACCCACCACCCCCACCCGGGGAGAGCCAACCCTGCCATTGCATGGGAACACACAATGATGACAACACATTATTATTATTATTAAAATTTGTGCACAGAAGAAAAATTAAGTTGCAGTCAGATATATATATATATATATATATATATTTTACGATATGTTCCTGAATGTAACGACATAATGTGAATCTCATTGCATCCAGCAGTAAGTGAAAAGAAAAACATTCTCAAAAAGAGGTTGCTGCCTCAGTTTATTCTTGCTTGATTTCTTCTTTTGCTTGGGAAAAAAAATCTCTTGCAGATTAGACCCCCTTCACACTGGATGATAAAAGCATTACTCTGCAAAATGTACATTCATTTTGACAGCGATGTGCTTCTTGCAGGTCAGCTGCTCTGTGCTGGTTTAGTTTTTGCCACTCAAACACACATTATCACCTCATTTATACTGCTGGCTTGACATGTCGGCTCTTTCTCCAACGCAATGCAGCTCTGCAGCCAGCTCACCAACAACAATGCCCCACCTTTTTTAGTGTTTGGATGTTTTATGCTACACATTGTGGCACAATAGAATACCAAGATACATGAAGTTATAAAAAAGAAATATTGTTTACAACAACACAGATTTCTATCCTTTTGATTTATGTGCAAATTATCATCTGTCGAATAAACACAATGAAGTAATGCTCTGTTTTACCATACCAAAGATAATTATGGTACAACTCCAATAAGAATAAATGCATTCAGTTTTTATATTGACTGTTCAAATGAATTGTTTATATAGGAGTTGTATTTTCCAAATGCTAACTGCTCAACTGGTACAAGAGTTTTGGGTAATTGTGCACACATAGTGTCACTAATTTTAAATAAGTTAATAACTCAAAGCTTTGTGTCTTTTAAATTTGTTAAATAGCACTTGCACTGTGAGGGCTCAAATATTGAGCTGTCCTGGGGCATTAAAATAATGTTTAATTGGTTCAAGGACCCCACTGAGTACTGGCACAAAAACACCCCATCATGGTCCCAGCTAGCAAGGAGAAACTGACAGATTCATGCTGCTATGCCCTTTTCTCTACCTTTCAATCAGCTTTTTTTTTTAACATAAATTGATTCAACTAAGCAACAATTCTTTTTAGTCCACTCTTTGTTCATCCAGATTTAGTGATTGTTACTGTCAAAGTTACCTTTATATGTAATTGGCAGATCATTTCCTTGTCGTGCAAAAGCAAAATTTTCCCACTGTTATTTTTTGATTCAATCGAAGGAGTGCAAATTAAGCAACATATTTAGAGGCCTTTGCCACATTAGACACATTGCCATGTCGCAGTATGAAAAGCACAGGTGTGACTAATAATAACACTAATAATGATGGCTGCAGTCCATTCAGGTGCTCCAGTTGTGGTCCTTTGGTATTATTCATGCTGGCTCACTGTCAGTCCAAACACTTCACTGGAATAAGGCCATCATGGATGTTGTTTGCACCTGTGTTTTTCTTTCAGAAACAACTCCCAGTGTCAGAGCGAAAATAAAACCTGTTGTGTTACTCATGCAGTCCTGAAAAGGAAACAATCTTTTTATGCATTGTTTTTCCATCTGTTCACAAAGTACATGTGGCACGAATTATAGAAAAAATGTGTCAAGAGAACATTATTTATATATTTTGTTTATAGTCCCACCTCAGGGTAGAGCCGTGCCTCATCCATCCATATTGTGGAAGCAACAGCTCCAAGAGAAAGACCTTCTCTCTCCAGTGTCCAGCTCCTATTAAAAATCCCAATGCATCCTCAGGCTTGAAGGGTGACATAGCTCCTCAAATGGGTTTTGGTTCTGTTCCAGATGGATATGCTAAAAAAAAAAAAAACTCCAAAATGACCAGATGTTTAACCACCTCAGCTGACTCATTTTGATTTAAAGAAGCGGTGGATCTAAACTGATCTCCACCGGATGAAAAATGATGCTCACCTTATCTCTGAGGCTGGGCCTGGCCACCTTTCAGAAGAGTATCAGTCCAGTTTTTATGTCCATGATTTTGTTCTTTCAACCATGATCCAAATCTCCTGACTGTTGGTGATCGTTGGACTGCAAATGCACCTATAAATTCAGAACTTACATGCTATATAATTGTCACGTTAATATATCAAAGGCATTTGTGTATTCTCTTGGTACGCATGGCTGTATTTGGGGTGGAAGCTCCTATGTAGGTTTTCCATGGCAAACTGGTCTTAAGGAAAGGGATCAGATTAAACAGGATCCAATAACTTCAATAATGCAAGACTGCAGAAAACAGCTTACTCTGCTTGGAATGGAGAGGGCAGGTCACCTTCAGAAGCCATGGGGGGATCTTGCTGTTAAGCACCTGGTAGTTGAGTCTTGGCTCCTGGTGTTTAACTGGCTAAGTTCAAAAATATGCTACTTACATGTGGACCCACTTCCTATGGGGAGAGAAGATGTAATAGGGCACAATGTGAGCTGGGTGGCAGGTGAGGGTTGTGACCTAAAATGATGATTCTTAGAGTTATAGTGTGACTTCAGGTACATGGAATGTCACCTATCTGGTGTGAAGGAAGCTGCATATTGTGAGACTGTGTTAACTAGATATATGGAGTGCCTTTTTCCTTACAGTTTGGAGGCTGGATCCCAGATACTGGAGAGGGGCTTAACTCTCTCTTACCGTGGAATGACTTAGCAGAAAGGGCAAAGAGGGCATTGACTTCATCAGTCTGAGGAGTCACAAACTGTTTCCCCACTGAGCAGCACACTCCCATAGTGGACCAACCAGTTTGCTGGTGATAAGATGATTTCTGGGGGCCGCCCTCTCCCCCGAACCACTTTGGCTGTGGCTGCCTGGGAGGAGTCGATTCTTTATCATGTTCTTAAAGCAAGAAAAATCTATTTTAATGACTTATAGCTTCACTAATAGCATAGTGTCCTCTACCTTACAGCAGAAAATAACACTCATATCACAAAACTTAGAACTAATAAAATATGTATCATGTTACAATTTTCAAAATGCAGATAATCCTGGAGATACATCTCTAAATGTATCCACTCAAAGCATTATCCTAGATTTGTAAAATTAATATACATTGTTCAGACATTAGGCCTGGAGTGTCAATGTGTGATTGTGTGTTTGATCAGAAGTTTGTGGGCGTGTTTGTCAATGTGGAAATATGCTCGGACATTCAGCTGCAGGACTAAACAAATACACTAAATTAGTCAAATGGCCAAAAACTATTGGAGATCGTGCAGAGATTGTGTATGGAGAAGTCTGCCTGACGAAAAGTGTGGCACTTTCTTTATGATAGATTTGTGGCCAAATGGCGGATGCAGGGGCAGAGTGGAGACTCTGGTGGGAAGACACCTGCGCGGTGACATATATTGCAGTGGGAGGGATTTCCCAAACTCTGCATCTGTGTCCAGTAGACTATAAAAAGTGTGTGTGAAAACGAATGTCCCAGAACCACGAGACTGTGAGTCGACTGTTCGGCTTTGGATGGAGTATGTCGGGCCCTTAAGTCCCCCACCCTCCATCAATCTGTGCATGATTTGAGCTAACTTACATAAAAATAGTTGAGGTACCATCTTCCATTTTGGCATGTGGGTGCATCTAGATAACGAAAAGGTTCCTTTCGAAAATTGGGTTGCTAAGATGGCCACCGCCATGTATATGTAAACTTTGTGAGCTGGATAACTTGAAAAATAAGCAACAGACCAACTTCCTTTTTAGTTTTTGGCTGCATAATGCACATGTACCACATGTGGTGCGAGTTACAAAAAAAAATGCAGACTCTGTTAAGAAAAGTTGTTTTTTTTTCAAAAATCTTGTTGCCATGGCAAAATCCAAGATGTCACCACCATACATATGTGTAAATTGGCCACTATGCTTTTTAGATTTTATTGTGCTTAAAAGTAAAATTTCCTCAAATGATTGGGGGGATTGATGCAGAAAATTACTTTATTACTCTGGCCAAGGCCACCATTGGCCAACCCTGGCTCCACCATTGCACCGGATGGTGGATAAAATTGCTCCTCTTGCTCACCAAGATTCGTTACTCTGTCCCACCTTGGACAAGAAAAGAAAAGGCTGCCTCTCTTCTTATACACAGTGTACCTCCTGCCCATGTGAATATCTAGCACCAAAAACATTAAGGTT